ACGAACGGATGCGAAGAGTTTCTATGTTATATTATATATTAGCTTTCGTCCATAACTTCATATGCATAGATTTTGGAAGTGAGTAAATGTTGTTTAGTCACGGAATAATTGCTTTAAAAATAAAAAAAAAAATAGACTTATTTTGGATATTACTAACAATCCCTTACCCCCAGCTAGTATGTATTATACCTACACATATTTAGTGTTTATGGACAGCTACTAAATTTAACACTTCGTTACCAAAAAAAAAATGTTTACTTTGCACATTCCTGTTACAATATTGTGGTAATGTCTTAAATTTATTTTGACCTTCGCCAGAATAGGAACTTTGGTATTTCCCTGTTTGTATCTGGATAATGTAATATTAAAAAGATTGTCTTACAAAAAAAAAAAGCGGTTATTTTGTTTAAAAAACTAAACTTAGTTAGTTACTAAATGAAGGGCTTCTGTGTGTACGCTAGTATGCTCCGAGCAGCGATCTAAGTATTTGACTGAAGATGCCTCGTTTAGAGATGAAACACGTGTTGTAAAACGTGCGTAAACATGATGGCAGTCGGAGATTGATGGCTAATATGGAAGGTTGTGGAACATCTAGTAGTAATAGTGGTGGCCAATCTTCAAGCGTTAACAGTTACACACATACTAATGGTAGCGGAATTAAATAGAATAATTCTAATCAAATGCGCAAAGCTGCAGACAAACTGCAATGCAGTTTCGCAGCACTAAGTATATATACTGTCTATGTAACTGTTTACTTGAAATAAATAAATAAATAACTAGTGATATGAACTTTCGTTTGATAACACTTACTTCAGATAAATGATATCAATCTAATATCTGCCCCCCTGGACAAGTAGCAAACGAGTCCATCCAGACAGCACCGGGGATGCCCTTTATACGGGTCGTACCAATGTCTCCCGTTCCATCGTGGAGAACAATCGTGAACAGCTTGTGTCTGAAATCGAGAGAACACTAACTGGAGTCTCTGATTGGGGACGACAAAACATGGTCCAATTTAACCCCTCTAAGACACAAGCTTGCGCGTTCACCGCTAAGAAAACCCCATTTGCTGTGGCCCCACAGTTCCAAGGCACGTCTCTTAACATCTCTAAAAGCATTGGGATCCTTGGTGTCGACATCTCTAGTGACGTACAGTTCCGTAGCCACCTCGAAGATAAGGTGAAGCTGGCATCTAAAAAACTCGGTGTGCTCAATAGAGCGAAGCATTACTTCACGCCGGATCAACGCTTTACATTTTAATGCTTTACAAATCGCAAATCCGGCCCCATATGGAGTATTGCTGTCACTTATGGGCGGGAGCACCTAGATACCAGCTTGAACCCTTCGACTCAGTGCAACGGCGAGCTATGAGAATTGTCGATGATCCCATGCTTGCAAGCGGTATTGAACCCTTAAGTCTTAGGAGAGATTTTGCCTCACTCTGCGTGTTCTACCGTTGTGTGCTCAGAGGAACTGTTCGATATGATGCCTACGGCCACTTTCTATCATCGTACGGCTCGCCATCGACAGGGAGTTCACCCTCATACCTTACAGCCTAAATGGTCGCGTACAACGCGGTTTCAGAGATGCTTTCTCCCACGAACACTCAGGTTATGGAATGAGCTCCCTGCCGAGGTTTTTGAGTGACTACAGCATGGGGTTCTTCAAAAGGGGGTAAAGAGGTTTCTTCAGGGTCGGCAACGCGCGCGTAATACCTCTGGTATTGCAGGCGTTCATAGGCTACGGTAACCGCTTACCATCAGGTGGGCCGTATGCTTGTTTGCCACCACAGTGGTATAAAAAAAAAAAAAAAAAAAAGCAACATCGTGAGATAGAGTGAGCCAGCGACGTCCGATGTCTCATTCTAACTTATGGATGCACTAGTGATAACGATTCTATAGATAGATACGTTTGGCATTTGTCTAGGGACTCTGGTTTTCTAGTACAAAATAAATGCAGATGACAGTTTTTGTCACTCTTTTATGCAAAAAGTACTGAAAGGATTAGAATGAAATTTGACACACAGGTCGGTTATATCCGAACTTAATATATAGGCTACTTTATGTGGATACATATGCGAGTGAAACCGCGAGATGCATTTAGTAAGTGATCACATTGACTATGCACTGAACCGTAAAAGGAGTGCCAATATTTGCGTTATTTAAAAAAAAAATATGCAGACATTTCCTGTCAGAGTGGCATAGTGATTCAGATGTACATCAACTAATTAAAAATAAAAATGTTTTAGGAAACATTGGGTTATGAAAGACAGATGTTTTCCAGAGGAACTTTTTGTACTATGTAGTCTTAACAGCTACTTCAGTTTCACCTAAGCAGCTTACCTTCTGCATTCAGCTTTGAAGAGACAGTTACAATTATTAGGTAATGTGACTCAATGTCTTAAAGTCACAAAGGTTATCAATGCATGAGTTATGTTTTCAATTTTGCAAAAAAATAATGCTTTATATAATATTTATAATAAAAATATAATTAAATCATCTGTGACCGTGACCTCATTTTTTATATTATCACCTTACTGAACTACTGAACACAGGCTTCCCTTTATTGGGAGTGGGGGAGGGTACCAGTTTTTCCATTTCCATGGTTGGCAGCTGGATTGACAATGGTAGTTAGGCTTTGGTGATATTTTAAGAGGGAAACTGCTGCCTATCTCTTGAATATTCAATGCCGTTAGTTGCTCTTATGATACCCACGGGAGAGGAAGGGGTATCTCATTCTAAGTCGGGATGTGGAAATTTTTATAGCATGACAACAAACTTACTTCATTATAAGAATTCTTTAGATAGATAGATATTCTTTATTGTTTCCTTCAAAAGATTATATGAAGATTTAGATGATGATGATGATGGTGATGATGATAAGTGGAGATATAAAGGAGGAGAAAATTGAATCACACGAGTAAAGGATAGGCAAGAGTGGAACAAACTGGAGAAGGTCTACACCTGAGAATTTTAATATTTCAAATGAAATTGAAAATTAATATTTTAAATACACTATCAGGACTTAAAACAATGAAAAATTGCAGGTAAATAGTAACTACAATATACATATATAAAATTATTATTTATTGTCCAACAAAACAGAAAAAAAATAGAAAAATAAAAAAAGTAACATTTTTATACTAACACAAATCAAGTAAGTACCAACATTAAATATTATGATAATTTGCTAAAACAGTTAACATTCAATGATAAGGAAATAATTATTTGATTTAATTTAGAATATATTCCACAAAAAAAAACTTTATTAATTGCGGCAAAACTAGGTATTTTGATTTAAAAAGTCAACTACATTTGTTTATGCATGAAAAAGTAACAAAACCATCCATCCATTCTTACAAACATTCACATTTATTACATTAATTGAATTAAGAATAGATTGTAATGTTTTTTTTATTTTGACACTTATATCTGCAATCAGTCAAGGACTACAAGCAGATGTGTTGTTTGCAGATAATAACAAAAGAGTATGCACCTCAGCAAGAACATCTACTCATACAGATTTTTTTTTTAATTTTTTTGAGGCTCTATCCTTTTGTTTCTGAATTTTTGTTTGTTTGTAACACTTTATTGTACAGTAAAGTCTTAAATTATAGTATACAGAGTTTTTGAGAAAGGAATGAGTACAATAGAGAACTTGTCCTATAAAAGAAATCTCTTCCAGTCAACCTCTGAATGTCTGATAGAAATTGTAAATTGGTGGAGACAAAAAAAAACTAATTAAAAAAAAAATAGATAAATAATAGGTGTTACAATTACACTGACGGATGGTGTGATGATTACAATGAGGATTTTGTAGTGTTTTAAACATTTTTGGTACGAAATATCAATCAGCTGTGTTTCGATAAAAAAAAAAAAAAACTATAGACATTTAGTTGTTTATGCCTGAAGGAGTAACAAACAGCCATCCATTATTACAAATATTCACATTTATTATATTAATAAGATTAAAAATAGATTAATTGCAATACATAATTTTGAACAGTAAATTCCTATTTCTGAAATATTACAGAACTAGTCATAAATCAGGCACAATTGTGTGTTTACGTAAAATATGAATCATAAATACTAATTAAATAATGATACCAAAATTATGATAGTTAGTGGTACATGTAATACATACAAATCAATGACTCTGTAGGAAACCTGTTATGCAATTGCATTCCATGATATAATCCAGACAAAGATCTATGTTATAATTAAAAAAAAAAAATTGTACTATACACAGCCTGCATAGATGAGGAATATTTTTTTATAGATAACATTATTATAAAAAGGTTTAAATTGTTGTTTGTAGTTGATAAACTCAAAAAATATTTAACAGATTTTATAACTGCTTTAAAGTGATAGAATAAGTATAGAAAGATACTTTATCAATGCGTAATATTGTCTGTGGTTTATTTTAAAAACGTTAGAGATCTTCTGTTTATTTATTTATTAGATCTCCTTGAAGGCAGCCAATGATAGATAGAATATTGGTTCATTTTGTACATTCATATCGCTTTATACTACTTATACAGTATTACGATATTAAGGTATAATTACCAATATACCTTGAAAATATTGATGACATTTTTAAATTGCAATAATTCCATTCTATGTTGATCCAATACAAATTTTATTAGGAATGAAGTTCATTTTTTATCAGTGAATTTTTTTTTATTTTTGCCTATACATAAAATATGATTACGATAGTAATTTTTGATGATCACTTATTAACTGTTATCATTGTGGTAAATGTAAAAAGTCTTAATTCATTTATAATTGCACTAATATACAAACTTTACAACTGCAAACATAAATTATAGAATTAAATTTATAATTTTCTATTTTAATGAAGAAAGTGCTTAATTAAAATAGGTATTCAATTATATTTCTCATACATATTAAGAAGCAAAAAAGTTTAATAGCCGGAACGTAAAAAAAAAAAAAACTTTGATGGCTGTCTAATAAATGTGAATTTAAAAAGAAAATATCTACCTTATTAAATATTCTCTGCCAGTACAAATCAGACCTCGTTGGAGTCATCGGGATGGAAACCGAATCCTGTCGAGCAGGCATCTTTGCAGAAGTGTCGTGCAAGTATTAAGTGAAAGAAATTCTAAATAAAGTAGCACATCACATTAAACACAAGGAAAGCACGTCTATTGTTTATGAATGGAGCAATAAAACTGGTTTGGAGTAATATTCAGATAATTACAAATAAATTTACTCTATATTGTTAAATTAATCTGAATCATCACTTATTTCGAACCAAAAACAAAAAATAACTAGACCCAAAGAAAACACAACTTAAAAGATCAACTCCACAACAAGAACTGATAAAATAAAATGAAAGAAAAATTAAATTTGACTTTGACAGACTTGACACTCTTATGTCTGTTTGACAAACAGACATAAGAGTGTCAAGTTATTACACTTCGTAAACGGTCAAAATAGAAACATTATTTACCTAAATTTATAAACTTAATCAAGTATAATTATACTACGATTATGAATCAAACCTGTGAATCAAACAGGTAATATCCTTTATATATGAGTCAAATATATATAAAAAGACAATAGATACTTTTATGATCTTAGTAATAATGCGTATAAGACAAAGAAGACGGAACCACTCTGTTTGTGTTCTACAAACAGCTTATACTAGCGTTGGTCGTTTAATTCAAAGACATTGGATAAGAATATAATATTTTTTTTTTATAAAATTATTAGATTAGTACGCGTAGATTCCAGAAATAAGAAAATCAATGAAATGGACAACTTCTAGATGGCAAATCTAAATAAAACATACACCAGTTTTTAAGTTAAATCTTCAGGACTACAAATATAGAAACAGCATCCAATTTGATGCAATAGAAACAAACATGCATACAGACACAACATTTCTAAAATTTATTGTTTTGGTTTCTATCGCTTTTATTGAGACACCTTATTTAAATTTTTCTTAAATATCTCTCATGTATACATGTATGTATGTATATTGTCTAGTTATAATTTTATTATATAAGTAAGATGTACCTAATTTTAATAATTTATTTGATACTTCACCATTTACGGAAAACACATAATTATATAGTTGTTCTGGTAATATTATTGATACAACTAACTTTGTCTATTTACTATCTATCGTATTTAAGAGCTGCGCTCTTGTAGGTGAAGCTCTCGCCAATCACTACGATTTTTAACGAGTTTTTCTATCTTTTGATACGACACAGCACCAACTTTTTCCTTGATTTGTCTGATGTAACTATGTCTTGGTCTCTCTCTTTCCCTCCTTTCTTCTATCTTACCTTCTGTTATAATATTCATAAGTTCGTCGTGTTGTATCAAGCGTCCTAACATTTTTTGTTCTGATCTCAGTTCTTATAATTTGTCTCTTTTCTTTAACCCTTAATAAGACTTCCTCATTACTAATTCGATCAATGTCTATTTACTTATTTATATATATAGAAGGTATATACAATGGAAAAGGTACAGACGATAGGTAGAAAAAAATATCTGAAGGAACATGTAAACTCCTCTTTTTCTGAAGTCGGCCCAAAATATAATTTAAGTAACAAGGAGTGTGGAAGACGAGCGTTAAGAGAATGCCAGGGAAAATATATGCGATAAGAAACGTCACTGTCATGTCTGTGAGGCCAGTTCGAATGAGAGGTGAAATAATAATGAACAATCTAGACAAGTGGCAGTGTATTCAGCCAAGTCCAAAGAAAAAAATGTGGCGTCGCAGCAACCGTGTGTAATATTACACGAACCATTTCAAGCTACTTTTGGCCTGGCCCCCTCACAACTCGGAACTTATTTAACTTTCATACATGAAATTTGGCACAGTTATTAAAGGCCAGCTTGTTTAGAATCCATAATATCATAAATGTGTTGCTCAAATAAGCCTGCACATATAAATCTTGAGCTTGAATTACATTCTAAGTGAAATAAATGAATTGTGTAATTAATTATCTGTTAAAGTTTAAGAATTTTTAATGCCTTTTAAGAAATAAATCTATTTATTTTTATTATTAGTAAACATGGTGGTTACCTACTATGTTTGAAACAAGAATTCATAATATAATATTGCACGTTTTTGTAACTTGTAAATTTTAAGATTTTTCACACAGAATTGGTACCTATGTAGATCTCATCTCTTGTTTTGACGAAGTTGAAACAACGCATATTATTAATAGTGAACTTGGCTTTAATTTCAAATTTATGTTTTTGAACTCGCCTAAAGACATGAGCAATACCATGGACATAACCGAGTATACTGTTTAGCACATGATACCTCCACGAGTTGCCATTGCTGAGGGTACAGACGAATAACACCTGATTGACTCAGGTGTTATTCCTCTGTACCCTGTAACCTTACTTAATGGAAAAGGAATTTTGCCAACCCGCCAAGCGTGGCAACTATCGACGAATTCCTCCGATGGGGGGAGGCTGGTGAGACATGGGTTTGTATATTTATTTATAGACAGCACAATTATAACTTTTAAATACTATAATTTATATTAAAAATTAAACCGATAGCTACATTTAAAATTTATTTTTTCTATTTAGGATAGTATCTGAAGTTATAATGCTTAGTTTCCTTCAGTAATCAAAGTAAGATATAAATTTCGAAGCTGATTTTTAATGTAAATTAATTGTCATAGCAACAAATTTTACTACATTCCTTATAGATAAGTGTAGTAAATACCTGCATTATCTATAAAATTATCTAATTTTAATCTTTAAGAGACAAAAAAAAAAAAACAAATGTAAATTTTTGTTATATTAACATAAATGTATATTTATACAATTCTCTGTATTTTAGATTTGATACATCATTCACTAAGCAATCGCTCAGCGCATTATCATAAAATTAAAAGTTAAAAACTATAAAATTGTAAACAAATAGTGCTTACAATTAAAATATTTTATCACAGTAGCGCCGGCTAAAGCTTGTCGTCGACGGCCGGACTAAACAATAGTTTTAGGTATGTCTTGATCCGAGTTTTCTGTATTAATAACTTAGCAATATCTCCGTCTAACTTCCTGGTTATTGAGGAACGCCACTTTGCCCCGTCTTGGTGGAATCTGAAAAATAAAGGCACAACTAATCAAATTTAGAATTTATTTGCATTATCACATATAAACCAGAGGGAGACTTTGTACAAAAGTCGTCTGCTTGGCCACCTCTGTTCCATTCGTGTTTCAATAAAATTCATAATATAATTGTTTCATTCAATAATTTATAAAAATACAACAAAAACAATATTCCATTAGAACAGGTAAATATATTTAAATATTTAGGCAGTTTAATCACAAGTAACTCCAGATGTACTCCGGATATAGTCGCGAGAATAGTTATGGCTAAATAAGCCTTCAACAACAAAAAAAAAAAACACCTTTTACAGGCTAAGATTTTTTTATGCAATTTAGAATGGCAAACAAGCTAACGGCCCACCTGGCGGATAGTAGTAACCGTCGCCTATAGACATGAGCAGTACCATGGCTATAACAGAGTATACTGTTTCGCCCATGATACCCCCTATGTGTTGCCATTCCTGAGGATTCAGATGTTATTCCTCTGTACCCTGTAAATTTACTGCCATATCCCACCCTTCAAACCGAAACACAGCCATGCAAACACAACTGCTTTACGGTAGAAACACGAATGGGACAGAGGTGACCAAGCAAACAATTTTTGTGCAGTCTCTGGAGATAATCTAAGATACCAAAAGATACTAGAAAGTGGCTTATCAAGACCTATATCTGGAGCTATATCAGACACTAACTCGAAAAGAAACAAACTTAAAGTCTTTTAAATGTAGTGCTGGAAAAAGATGGAGAAAATTAGCTGGAAAGATCCTATTTTTTTTTAACGGGTTATAATGGTATGGTAACCCCGTCTGCGCTATTGGTATTCACTGGCGGGGCACCAGTGATAGATGAGTGATGAGAATGAAAGCAGATCAGTTAGCCCATCCTGACGAATTCAACTAGGATTAGCCATGATGGTTTCCAGGAGGAACCACGTGGAGGTCGACGTGACAGGGTATATTGCTAGTAATGGAGATATTTGACCCCATTACTAACAATCCCTTTCCCCCCGGAAAGATCCTATTAGTAATGAGGAGGTTCTATTTAGGGTTAAGAAAAGAGACAAATTATAAAAGCTACTGAGGTCAGAAGGGGAAAAATGTTAGGAGACTTGATACGACTTGACGAAATTATGAACATTCTAATAGAAGGAAGGTGGGGAAGGGGGGAGACCAATACATAGTTACATCAGGCAGATCAAGGAAAAACTTGGTGTCGTGTCGTACCAAGAGGTGAAGAGATTCCACTGACAAGAACATAGCCTTTAAATAGGACGAATAATAACATTGTTGTGTAACCATGTTAGAATTTTAAACAATATATTTTAATTCAGGCGTATTGCAGGTGTTCATAGGCTAGGGTAACCACTTACCATCACGTGGGCTGTATGCTTGATTGACACCTCAGTTTATTCTTTAAGTGAAAATGTTTACATTCACAATTCCCTTAAATATTATGCAAAATAAAGTTAAATTTACTATGTAATTACAGTAAAATTAAATTTACTTTGTGTAAATAAAAAAAGAGGAAGACCGAGGATTAACTACATGGGACAGATAAAGGAAACACTAGGCGTCATGTCGTATAGGGAGATAAAGGATATGGCCTGGGATAGAGCTGGCTGGAGGAAGATGCATGAATTAGTTGCACCGTCAAGAGGAAACTCTTAAATAAAAAAAAACACTTACCTCTTGGCTGTGGCCGCCGTATATTTCTTTTCATGTGACACGTTGTATGTGGCGGCAAATGACCAGTTCTATAGAAAACTTTTTCAAATGTTGTAGCATGAACGAAAAAGCAAGACGACCTTTTTTTGCATTTGCCATTCGCAAAATTGTGACAAAATGTGAAGACTCCCTTCAGTTGATTTATAACTAGTTTATGTGCATAAATACAAGTACTTCCCCTTTCGCAGATTCCTCGAACAAAGTCTTTGCACATAGTTCATTTTCGTTTGTCTAAAACAAACTCGAATAAATATCCTTCTGTGTATTATTTATATGTTTCTTCATCTGACTTCAATTTAAATTGTAATTCTTCTTTTATTTCAGTGATAGTAAAGTTAGTGGGAATATCTGATGGTGGGGAATTTGGCGGTAGTGGTGGGTGGTAATTTGACGATGGTAGTGGAGGGTTCTTTGGCGATGGTGGTAGAGGGCAATTTGGCGATGGGGGTGGAGGGCAATTGGGCGACGGGGGTGGAGAGCAATTTGGCGATGGGGGTGGAGGGCAATTTGGCGATGGGGGT